TGCAATGCAATATGAACAACAAACACACAACGAACTCCACATCCAACACGGTTGGGAAATGGGTGCCACTTACGCCAGAATACGGCTACAACGTCTTCGTTTATGACTCTCACTACCCAACCAGATCGTCACAAGTGTAAGTTATGTGATACGGTGTCGGGCGCGATCGGTCCGGCACCGCACGGGGGCAGCGCGGGACCCTCCCGTGCGTGTGTTGGCGGCCTCCTCAATCCACCCTCAGTAAAACGATGGAACTCCACTGGTCCCAACCCACATTCAGGGTATGCTCCTCGCTCTTCAACCTCTGGCTCCCGCTCCGGTTCCTCCTCTCTCCTGGCTAGGGTCTTCCGTCCTCCCCGAGACGGTCTCACCTCCCTGGGTTCAGGGTCCCTCGGTCTTTGACTCCTCTGCCGCCTCTCGACTCTGGGCTGAGGGAGCTCTGGCCGTCGAAAGGCCTCTCTCAGATGTGCCCTGCAGCTCTCCCAATCTCGTGCCATGTCCCTGATCTGCATAGCCAGTGGCCTTTCCGCCTTCCTGGTACAGAGTGGTAGCGTCTGCATCCAATCATCTCTCGGTATGCCCTGCCCCTGCATGAACCACTCAAACGCGGGGATGAAGCCCGACGCATTTCCAATCTCCAGGCGGATCGGCCTGCCATCAGGTCCCACAGGCGAGGGTCGCAACTCCTCCATCCTCATCTCTACCTCATGCCTCGTCGTCGCCTCCCTACGAATGCTGGCAATGGGCTCCTCGAACCTACCTGCTCCCCTCAATTTCTCAATCGCCTGAGCGACGGTCCAGCTCATACGCCTCGCATTCTCTCAGAAACTGTCCAGGAATAGCTCGATGTCCCCATCATTGTAGACTGGAGTGCTCTCTCGATGGCGAGACCCATGCCGCTTATATCCTCCTGATGCACCCAACGGCCTCTGAGGCGGCCGTGTCCCGTTCCTTCCTCTTGGCATGGCTGTCTTCGTAAAGTCAGACCTGCACAACAGGCGAAGGAGACAACACGCACACATTGGGGTAAGCAAGCAGGTGATAATCAAAGCAAGCTCAGACCAGACCATACTTATGCAGCAWGCATCCTACCTAACCTACACACCCTGTTGCTTCTATTCTAAAGGCAGTCAGGTCATCTCCCTTACCTCTTCTCTCGCCACAAATTTCTTCAGTCGCGTTCCAGATACCCAATCCTTCCACTCAGTC